CAAGAAGTAGTCTTAGGCCGTCAGGAGAAATAGGCGAAAAAAATTCTTTTGCTTCCTTCAAAACCCAAACAGAAGAATCAACTCACGAGTAATCCGAATAAATATCTTGTTACCCTACGGGTTCTTCAAGACCAGCTGATCCCCGCATAATTTGCATATTTAGACCCCGAGACATTCTGGATTCAAGTCAGCAATCCGAAATGAGCTTCTGTCCTTATACGCAGAAATGAATTCCCTGTGTTTGGGCAGCCCTTCACCGAAACTCTCAGCGTGATCAGTTCAGAAACTGGTCGTCCTCATGAACTCATTTTTTGGATCTAGAAAGCTACGACACTTCATCCGCTCATTAATTTACGATTGATTAGGTGCATTCATGGCTAACGTTTCAGAAGAGTAGATGATTTTGCTGAATCTCGCTGCATTCTGCACCAATCATTCGAAAGTGAATCGTGAGCACTATCCTGACTGGTCACAGAGATCTTGTAGGGCGATCAGCCTTCGATTTCTGAGCCGGTCTTCATGCTTTCAGGAAGTAGACTCATCATTCGAAAAGTTAGTCGATCAACGCTGTTTCCAATATTGTGTACAGTTTAAGAAAATAAAGGTATTAATGTCGTCAGGGAGGGGGGGGGCATTCAAGTGTGTTCTTGGGACTAAGCCTTAAGGAAGAGAAGGGATCCTGAGTGTGGATGTGAGTAAACATTATTCTCCTTGGCGTTTCTCTTCTATCCTGGACTTAGTACACCCAACAGCGGTTTCTGAGTACCCTGTTTCAAAATGTCCCCTCTACATGAGCGCCATAAAAACGTACTAATGCAACGCAGGTTTATTCAGAAGCGTGGGTGGAGGAGCGTTTAACGTCTTCTATCTACTATAGCCTATGACTACGGTTCAGGAGCTTCCAATTAATCTTTCTCACAAAAAGAGTCGAACAGAAGTTGTTTCCGTTGTTGTGATGTTCAGAGGAGTATAGCTTGAAGAAGAAATACATAGGTAAAAGACCCCACCTTTCCGTCAACAGAGATCACCCATAACGCTCTAGTCCCTAGAGAGACGAAGGCAAGCGGGAGGTTCTTCGGAGTGAGCAGCGAGCACCAGCTGGTACCATTCGGAGAATCTATGACAGGATATATGTTTCTTCAGCAGAGAATTTCGTCTTTTCGCTACCTTGGAAGAAGAACGAGCAAGACATAAAGCAGAAATTAAAATATTTTGATTTAACGCCCTATCACATTTGCAACAGAGGTTTGTTATCACGTCTTCTCATGATATAAAAATTACCTTTAGTTATTCCAACTCGTAAAAATAATCGCCCGTCCCATGTAAGCGCAACCAACGTTCCCAAAGAAGCTGAGCAGCTAATTTTAGTCAAATCTTCTCTTCCTTCTGAAATCACTTCGGTAATGCCAGAAAAATGACTACTTAATACATCAATAGCAAAATTGACGGAACCTTCACAATCGATTTCCGGGATTCTGCACCACATATCGCCACCTGGATTGTTTTTGTCGAGTCCAACTCTTCTAAATATGCAGTATTAAAAGTCGAGTCCAATATTCTGTGTGAGAGATGAAATTTAGGGTTATTCAAGAAAGACGGCGCGCGCGGCTCACCTGAACACGTAGCCATCTTTTGACAAGGCGAACAATAGGCAGCCGCGATCATGCAGTAAATCGAATCCACCCACAGCCAGCTCTACAAACGTTGTTGTTTCCTCTCGGGGTAGCTGACAAATGCTTTGCATTATTGATAGAATCAAGGAAAGTCTCAAATTTGCAGCCAGACCGAGTCTGATCACACCTCCAAAAAAGTGCAGATCCATTTTTGTAATGTTTTTGACTTACTAGGTATCTTATTTGGAAAAGCTGTAATGGAGCTCCCTACCATTTATTTTTTAAACCGTCACTGGAATTTATTCAAAATCATTAGAGAAAATAGCCACCTCAGCCCATTTTTCAATACTTGTGTAGCGCATATGCCTTTTCCATTTACGACGACGCACAAATGAACTGACGCCTTTGGTCGAGCTCCAGACCGCACCGGCAAAATTCGTGGCGTATTCCCAACCCTGAAACCAAGAAATTAGTCTTCTAATAGCAACTTGTATGTGCGATATCAACCTCCTTGTCGCATTTTCGTACGTCCACATCAACGATCCACGACTCCTCCCAACGCCAGCCGTCTGCTTTTAGTTGAAAACCAGACATGTCTCCCGAACTCGAGCCATCTTCGTTGCTGAACGAGCCGCGGTCTGTCGGTAACGTTCTTGACGACCATCCAATCAGTGGATACCATCGCTGAAAACTGATATTGTTCTCCGAAAAGTGAAGATGGGCTAATAATTGACCGTACTTGATTGGCGTAAATTTCCACTTTACGACGAATTGTTAAGTGAGAATTCAGAACGAACTGGAACACTCTGCCATTGTGATCTAAAGCGAATGCAGCCTGAAATCGAAACATCAAAAGGTTACACTTTGATACGCTAAACAAAAGGTCTTATGGTGAGAAGAGAAGAAATATTACATGAGGTGCTGCTGTAATCTGTCGGACTTTCTGCTGTTCTCCTTCAACTACAACAGGCTCAGATTTCCATTGAACCTCAGAGATATGTTCTGAAAACAGGAAGAAAGTTCTGAACTAGAAAATGCAATCCACCCTTTCTCATCCACGGATCTCTTTCACTGAGGGTCCTCTCTCACTGAAAGATCTCGAGCCGGTTGGTGGCGAGGCTACGTGGCGCGACCCCAGGTGGCGGATAGGGGGTAAATCGCGGACCAAAAGCCACCATGTACTTGCCCTGAGACGCAGGTGGATTCAGGGGATGGACTCCCTGTTTCTGTAGTGCTGTGTTGATTCATACCAGCTGTCTCCACTCAGGTGTATCCATGCATGCTTGCGTGTGTGGTGCGCTCTGTGTGTGTGCGGTTGGTATCCTGCATGTCGGCACAGCCAAAAGCTTGCATTCAAGTGACTGGGAAGTACATGGGAGGCGATTCGGGGCCGCCTCCAAAAAATAAGCCCCTTGTTCCGCTCCAGGATAGCGTGGCTAACTACCTGGAGGTCTATCCTAGCCCACACGACAGAGCCTGGCAAGCTACTCGTGTGCCTTCAATATGCCGAAAACAGCAATATGGATGGGCCTCATTCCCCTGAACCTGAGGGAGCCCCCAATACGGCAGCGTTGGGTAGGACCGCTCGGGAGAGGCTGCTAGAATCTCAGGGCCCGGATAGGCTGCCTAAACGAAGAAGGACTAAGATGGCGATCTGTACTTTCAACGCACGAACGCTTGCATCCGAAGCTCACATCGAAGATCTGATGATGCAGGCCAGGAAGATCAAGTACGACGTCATCGGACTGACCGAGACGAGAAGGCACCGCCCGCTACACGCCGTTTTCGATACTGGAGAAGAACTGTTCCTTGGAACATGCGACAGCAGAGGCGTTGGCGGTGTGGGTGTCCTCGTCAACACGCACTTGGCCATAAACATCGATTCGTACGAAAGCCTTACGACCCGAATCGGACGTTTGAGATTGAGAAGATGTGGATCAACTCCTGCTTTGACAATCTTCGTCGCCTACGCACCAACATCGAGCTACGACGAGGAGGAACACGAAGCATTTTATATGGAATTGGAGAAGTTCTACAAGGAAGATCATACCTTCTTCAAGGTCATCGTCGGCGACTTCAACGCCAAGATTGGCCCGAGAAACGGCTGAAGAACTTCACATCGGTACTCACGGAATGGATTGGAATGAGCAGGGCGAAAGACTGTCTGAGTTTATCATGTCGACCAACACCATCCATGGTAACTCGCAGTTCCAGAAGCCCTCTCACCTTCGCTGGACTTGGGAGTCACCTGATGGACAGTTCCATAATGAGATAGACCACATCATCTTCAATCGAAGGTTTTGCCTGACCGACGTCGCTGTTGTTCCAAAGTTCTACACGGGATCGGACCATCGTCTCCTCCGCGCAAGATTCCACTTCTCGATGCGTGTTGAGAGAGCAGCAAAGTTCAGGAAGCGAAGCCCCAGGACAGTCATCAACTGGGACCACTTCGCTTCCCTCGTCAGCTTATGGGAGGATTCCGTCATCGAAAACATCGACGAGGAGTACTATCGGCTCGTTGAACATCTTCACGATTGTGGCAAGAAGGCAGAGAGTTTGAAAGTCACCAAGGGACGTCTGTCTCCGGAAACTCTCGAACTGATACGCCAGCGTGGAGCCGCACGAGCTGCAGGCAATCACCGACTCACGTCCGAGCTTGCGAAGCTATGCAGAGAGGCGATAAAGGAAGATCTCAAGGAGCGAAGAGCAGCAGTATTAGCTGAAGCAGCAGAGGCTGGGAGGAGCATCCGCAATGCCCGCCGAAGCTTTGCCAGCTACAAGACCAAGATGACCTGCCTCCGACGTCCGGATGGAACAGTTACTGCATCCCGAAGGGCAATGGAGAAAGTCATCCACGACTTCCGACACGCCATCAAGTCGGTGAAGAATCGTACAGCACCCGGTCTCGACAGGGTCAAACCGGAACATCTGAAGAATGCGCCGCCAGTCATCATCAAAACTCTGGCTCGACTCTTCACGCGCTACCTGTCGGAATGCAAGGTACCCACTCCGTGGAAAACCAGCAGGACCGTGTTGCTGTACAAGAAGGGAGACCTGGACGACATTGGCAACTATCGCCCAATCTGCCTGCTGTCTGTAATCTACAAGCTATTCACTCGAGTCATCCTTAACAGGATCGGCAGAATACTAGATGAAGGACAGCCATGCGAGCAAGCAGGGTTTCGAAGAGGGTTCAGCACGATCGACCATATCCACACGGTTACAAGACTCATTGAAGTTTCACGAGAGTACAAGATGCCGCTTTGTCTCACGTTCATCGACTTGAAGAAGGCCTTCGACTCTGTGGAGACAGAAGCGGTCATCGAAGCCTTGGGCAACCAGGGCGTCCCTACTCAGTACATCAAGATTCTTCGTGAGCTCTACAGCAACTTTACGACCAGAATCTCACCATTCTACAAGGAGGTCATCATCGACGTCAAGAGAGGGGTTCGACAGGGCGACACCATCTCGCCCAAACTCTTCAGCGCCGCTCTCGAGAACGTCATGCGTCAACTGGAATGGGAAGACATGGGAGTGAAGGTCGACGGCCGGCAACTACACCACCTTCGTTTTGCTGACGACATCGTTCTTATAACGCCGAACATCGAGCAAGCGGAGCGAATGCTGGCTGATTTCGACTGCGCCTGTGGTAAGGTTGGTCTACAGCTGAACCTAACGAAGACGATGTTTATGAGAAACGGATTGGTTCCTGATGCCCCATTCACGCTCAACGGAACGAACATCACCGAATGCTCCAGCTACGTGTACCTAGGTCGGGAAATCAATATGATGAACGATCTAGCTCCAGAGCTGAGCAGGAGGAAACGAGCGGCTTGGGGAGCGTATAAGAACATCGAGGGAGTAGTGAAGAAGACGAAGAACATCCGGCTCCGTGCCCACCTCTTCGATTCCGCTGTCCTTCCTGCCCTAACCTACGCCTCAGAGACTTGGACTCTGCGCAGGCAGGACGAGCATGCGGTCAGCGTTATCCAACGCGCTGTCGAGAGGACGATGCTAGGAGTAACCCTATACACGCAAGTGCAGAGGGGAATCCGGAGTGCCGAACTACGCCAACGATCGAAGATCAGGGACGCTGCCGTTTTCGCCAAGGAATCGAAGATAAGGTGGGCCGGACACGTCATGCGATTTTGCGATGACCGTTGGACCAGAGCGGTTACCGACTGGATCCCTCGGGACGTCAAACGAACACCTGGACGACCGCCGGCCCGATGGTCAGACTTCTTCACGAAAGCTCTGAACGAAAGGAATGAAGGACTTCGTGTCCCTCGAGCGAGGAGGGTCCACTGGACAACTCTTGCACGCGACAGGGACGAATGGAGACGTTGCTGGCGCCCGCTCGAGCAATTCGATGATCAACGGGACGACAGGTGATACAGGTGATACCCTTTCTCATCATTGGAGGCTCAAAGCTAGTCACTGGCGTGCGTGCTCAGAATGTGAACAAAGGTGGTTCCAGACTGAAATCATCAACTCGCTGAAGGAACGAAAGAAGCAAAAGATGAACTCCGTTGTGGTGGAAAGGACCGACATAGAATTCATGGCACGATATAGGTATGGCTATGCTTCGCGTTCGCGCGCAGGGAGGTATTCTTCATAATGGCCATCAAGTGTGATACATGACAATCTGCCCATGGAAGCCTTTGACGGCTGACCATGAGTCCAGTGTCCACTAACAGATGCCTGGACTAACCATTGGTGGGCAGAGCCCATGGCGGAAAGGCCAAATCGCTTCGTATTCTCGAACCTAGATGAGGCCACGCATCAGAGGGTTGGGAGAGTGTAGAAAATGGGTGTTGGAAGCTCACGGCTCCAATAAAGCAGAGCTAAGATTATGCTCCGCACATTCAACGCACATATGCGAGGTTAGAAAGCTCAGTCAACGAAACGGAAGTCAAAAACAGAGTCACTTGAGCTTGCATTCAGCTCTTCTAACACAATCCCTTACGCAGGCTTTCTATACTGGTACAAATTAAAACCTACCTATCCTATCACCTGCAGTCACTCGATAAGGCACTCCATTCGAACTCAACAACCACAGGTACCCATTGCCCATGAACAATCCAACACCTACTGAAATGCTTTGGTGATTGAAAATAAGATCAAGAGCCCTACCTGACACGACAATTACAAAGCGATCAAGAAAGAACAATCACGTTGAATTTCATGAAACTGAATAAACTACAAAATCTCTAGAAGGAATGCTTTACGAGAACCTCGATGTCGAATAAGAATATCACGTGTGGAGAGACTAGATTGCTCCATACATGTGGTATTCCTATCCAAGCTCACCGGCTTGAAGAAACTGCTTGTGAAAGCGGAAAACGTTGAAAAATGAAATGTCCTATGAGTGAGAAGAATCCACCGATGTACTCCGACATTCTGCTGTCGTGACCGCGTCACATAGAGACATTGTCGGTGCCCACTAGAATTATTGAACGACCAACAAGAGGGTAGGTGGCAAGCGATACGCCTTCACACTGCGTATGCGTGATCGCGACGTCGGTGGTGCCCGTGACTCAACCCCTGCTGGGAGCGATAACTTCTCGACAACACTGCTTCCAACATACATCGCTGGCTATCAGCAAAGGGTGCGTAGCGTTTCTCCTCCTGGGGTCAGGTCACCTAAAATTGAGACACCGTTCATTTGCTCGGAGCAAGCTTAGAACTACGCCTAGGCCCAATCATAGGCTTAGGCATGAAGCCAATGTGTAAGCATAAGTCCTTAACCTATGTCCAAATTCAAAGTTAATCCTTAAGCTTCAATGATCGCGCAACTGTGGTGACCTGACCCCAGGAGGAGAAACGCACGTCTCCCCAAAGAACACCTCCAACAGACCAATCAATTAGGCACTTTGAAGTGTACAAAAAATGTGTGGGATATACAAATGATCGTCATTCCGAATGTTCAGTAAGTTTCAGTTACTTAATTCAAAGAACAGTGCAACGGCTCAAATTGACATTTCCATGAGAATGTTTCCCAAAATAGCAATACCATCTAGCTTTGGAAACGGTTGTCAAGAAAAGACATGTTCTCAACTCTCACACAAAATCGTCCAAGCTTTCTCCATTGCTAAGGGTTTCTTCTATGGAACCACTCATTGGAACATGATATGCACTTCATTAGATCAGTTCAGAGCTTGCATTGTGGGAAAAAATCAACGCAATAACACGAAGAAATACGACCACATAAAACGCCTCATTTCTAATTGTTTTATCAAAGAAGGCAGAAAATTGATCAAGCAATAGGAGGACAATGCCTTGTTTGACAACAAACCAGAGGATTGTATAATACTTTTCATTCACTATACAAATGTTAATCGCAGGACAGAAGAGCTCGTAATTTTCAAAAAACAACATTGCTTCACTAGCACTAACATCTAACACATCTGGCATCACAGAATAAGCACATGACAACCTATAAAACTGAAAATCTCCACAAATACAAAAGAAAAGTAAGATCGTTTCAATTCTTCCCTTCCGCCACTATGCACACTGCGTGGAGGAAAAAATCGCGGAAGAGAAATTAAGGAAGTACATAGAAAGATTAGAGAGATAAGAAGTTAAAACGTTTGTCACGGAGGACAAGATTCCGGCGACCCTTGCTACACAATGTTGGAATGTTCCACTTCACTCGAGATAGTACGATACACTATTCCTCACTTGTTTCCCATGGTTGCCTTGTTAGTCTAAAAATTTAATCACTGACGTTTCCAATGAAAACCAAATAAGCTAAACTACAAAAAATTCAGAAACGGAGTTCATTAACTCATTCATTGAGATATTAAAAATTAACTATCTTAACGCACCTGTACAATACCAATGATCATTCCAAAGAGACCAATAGCAGACGCGAAAATTTCTATGATCAGAATCTTTACAAAGAGAGCAGGATTAGCAGCATCTGCGATAGCGGCACCAGATCCGACGATACCTATGTAATTATGAAAGTTGAGACCAGTCAAGGATAAGATACATAGAACTTGGACACTTACCGACAGCAAGACCACATACAAGATTGCTGAAGCCAACAGTGAGGCCACCACCGAAAATCATGTATCCAGCTGCGAGATTACGAGCAAGAATGGCCACCTGATCAGGCTGTGACAGATCAAGCTCCTCACGTTTGAAGTCCTTAAATTCATGATTTAGCGCTGTTCTCTATGGCGAGCTCGCTTGTCCTACGAATTCATTAAACAAGAGCAAGTGATTGTCGGTATCGTTTCGAGCTTGAAACGCCTACCGTAAACCAAGATGTGCATAGCTCGCACTGCTCACATCTGTCCTTCATTCCAACCCCTTACTTAAAAGCGAAATTGTTGCTTCAAAACTTCTGCCAACACAAATGTAACAGTTATTGTGATATGAACTATCCGCTTGCGCACGATTCTAATGCTTTCTGATATGGTAACGCCACTGGCTGACAGCGATTACCGCTACCAAAATCAACTGGTTTCCGAATCTGCCCTACATATGGTCCTGATTTATATAAGCTTCGCTAGTGTTCGCAACAGCAGTTGTTAGAAACACATTTCCTACCAGGGATTTGATCATCAAATTAGCGACTAAAATGAGCAAAACACAAGCTCTGCATAAGCAAATATTTTGCCAAAAAAAACTTTCAAAACTATTCTTGCAACACTATCGTGATCTTGAAATGTTCAAATTAGAGTTGGAAGAATCGAAAAAAGTGGAAAATTCAATGGAGTACAGCAGAAACAATCTATTATTACTTGGCAAAAAGCAGTTTTTCAAGCTTTCCGGTCTGCTGCGGTACCGATTACACCACCGGGCACCATTTCACCATAGCTCAGCTTCAGTGGTATATACCGCAGCTTACAAGCACTCACACGTCCAAAGTGATAAGTCGGTTAGGATATCGACAGTGAATACCGGCAAGAACCGGAAGACGGTGGGCTTTGACAGGTAATGCAGTTTTTGATTGGCTTTTGTTTGTAAACTCCTCCTCTAACGCCTCGCGTGCGAATCTTTCACAGGAATGCTGAGTTAATGCCAATACCGGCTAATTGATTCATCACGTTTGACGTGTAGATGCTGTTAAACTATGGTAAGTACACCACTGAAGCTTAATTGAGGTGTTTTGGTGCCGCGATGGTGTGGTTGGTAGCACAGCAGCTCGGAAGCTAAAGTTGTGGGTTCAAAAGCTAAAGGTGTCCACATGGGGCAGAAAGGTGATAAAAATTTTGCAACTCACAGCCATCTTTCCGACGAAGACAAAGGCCATAATAATACCGAAAATAGCCACAGCCTCACAGAAGATGATTGAGACCAAGTTCTTGGTTCGAATCCTAGGAGCTTTCACACCACCGCCAAGAATGGAAGAGCCTGTTGTGAAGATACCCCTGAAACACATACTCTACGAATTGGTAGTACAAATACACGTTGTACAGTGAAAAAATAGTAATGCATTTCCTTAGTATACTACTCTATTAAGTGGACGACTTCTTTCGCTCTTATTTTTCACTAATTTTTGTTCACAATCTCGAACCTTTTGAGTGACTTTATTGGCTCGTGTACCCCTGACAATGCAAAGATAGGTCAAAAGGTGTCAGTGGTAATAGAAATACTATTTGACACGGGTGTGTTCGCTAGAACAGACGCGCCTTTTCGGCTTTCGCAGTGCAAACCATTTTTTGCCACAGGAGCCACAGGTCCACTCGTGTTCTGTGGGGACCTGGGATTCCTTCAGCAAAAAAGGCTTGCACTGGCGAACCACAGGCATTTCACACTGACAACAACAACTATTTTAGAACCTCGGCCTATACGAAACGATAATAAAGCTTCAAATGTAACATGGCTTCACTTACCATCCAGCTCCGAGAACAGACAAAGACAGGGAGAAGCCTATTCCCAAGCCGGCCCACATATGTGGCGAGGTACTAGTGAGGAACCATCCGATATCGAATCTGTGGCCCTGACCAGTCAGCATGTAGTACAACGCTGGAAAGTCAAAAAGCAAAACTAGTTCTTCTCAGGCCTCTCATTTCTTCACAAAATAAAGTAAGAAAAGAAAAGCAGACGAATTACTGAGCAACCTCACCTACGCCGATGAAAATGGCTGTGGAAATGGTGATGACGGCTCCCGTCGTTTTCAGAATGGCCCCGGCTGCCATCCTAGGACACAGAAATAACCTTGAATCTATTATGGAAATGAAAAGACAACAATATCAACAAAAACAAGTAGAAGTCGATAATCTACTCAAGTGTATTCATGCGCTCTACTTGGAGACCATTTTCTGCTCTCAGTCGATCTTGCGGCGTGGTTGTTACGCCATGGCGCGCGCCACACGCCATGGTCTTTGGTGTTCTCTAATTTTCTCGCGTATCGCTTCCCTCTCTAACCCCGACACGCCACCTGTCGGGGTATGAGGCAAGCAGAGGACCCGAACGGAGTAGATAGGTGAAAATTTGGACATTGGTGATATCAACCATTGCAAACCAAAAGTTTAAGATTTGTCGAAATTGCCCAGTACACCATTAGAGAGGAGGTGTAGTGGCAATTGGCCCCGTCACACGGAGGAGTAGGGGATCAATTCCTGGGTTGTGAGTGCGCCCGGACAACCAAGCCTTCATTCTTCGGGCATAAAGGATCTAGTCGGTATATTGGTGCCGATTGTCTGGGGAGGTAAAAACCCTGATAGGTTACATCGGTCAATGGGGTCGCGAAGGAAACTTGTTAGCGAGTCCTTGTAAAAGACATTGGATATCTGTGCATCTGTTAGCTCCCCGGCGCTTTTTGTGTATCCACTATTTGCTAGCGTGAGATACGTGGACTGGGCTGGCTGTGGTGTACATGTTCAGCCGTAGGCGTGCCGTGGAAATTGGATGCGGCCAGTCTATGAAATGGCGGCGGAGCCAAGGTTATTTCGGTAAGCTCGTTTCCGGCCACCACCCTTCCTATTCGAGGGGAAAGAGAGGGTCCTCGTTTGGAGGGGTCATCGGCTTCTGCATGTTATGGTGGTGTTAAGAGTCGTCCGGCTCTCGTATGTGGTGTGGCCGCGAGTCGGACCACATGTGGACGGTTTCTTTGAGCGTTCATCATTTGATTGGTAAGAGACGTCACAGCCGACCCCCTTCTACACTCAGCTTCATCGATGCGCGGAGGTTTTAAATCTCTCAGGTCTTTCCGCTTTTTTCGGTGTATAATTCAATAATTAAACTTTGAGGAAACTGTTCGCCACTCTTATGGAGAGTGAGGTAGTAAATCCCGATCGATGATTTATTTCGCGTAAATGGGCCAGGCCGCGACCGTACGCCACTATCAGACGTTCTGTTGACTGCCCTGTCAACGCTCATACCATTTCATTGATTCGACCGCTTTTCTTTACCCTATATCGAATTATGGAGTGTTAGATTTATGGAAAGGCGGAATTCTGTGTTTGGTTTTTGGTGTTGACAGCCCAAAGTGTTTCTCACAAAATCGGGGTTAGCTTAGAGTAATGTAGTTATTTAGTGCCTGAGACACAATTACTCCGTTATTGGCGCTAGCACAAGAAATGAGCGCTGGCCCCAGCGCTTCACCGGGGAAGAGTCAGGAGCTAGAACTTTGAACCGGTTTCAGGTCCTGAAGACGACGGTTTGTCGAAACGTTGACCAATAAACGGTTCCACCATAACAACCTGTGCGGCACAAAAGAAGAATACACAATATGTCAAGATGCCCAGGTTCCAAGAAGACCGAACATGGAATTTATTCCAGAATGAATGTTACATTCGTAATTGCAGTGGCCATACCGTATTATACATTAGTTTTACAACGAATTTAGTTGTAAACAGCTGTGGCGCCAGCGCTAAAATGCATGCCATATTCGTTATCGGGGCACCGGATTACCCTTATAGACGAGGTTACGACGAAAATAAAAATTTAGGATTTTTATATTTCTAATTGTTGACCCCCGTTGGTGTTGTCGGGAAATTCATACCATGGAATGGAAAGGACCGATTGAAACTCTGCCTATCCGTCTTCTATCGGACAATATTCTAAAATATCAGTACGTAATCAAACGGGCTGTACCGTTACCCTGTTGCGTGAATCAAATGGAACCCGCCGACGACCCAAATACTTCGCATGAGCTGGAATTCTGGAATGATTCTTTGTCCTTTTAGGGATGATTTGATATGAGCTGACGATACCTGTTAGTGTAAGATTTCTAATTTTTATTTCTTTGTCAATCCCTATATCCGGATGGTTTCTTATTCATTACACGGTCATACTTCTTGAGTTTCGCGTTAGGTGGGGGGAGGAGGGATTCCCGGCTGAAATTGAATGGGCACTCACGACTTTCGGACTGGTGTCAACGTTTCATTCGCTCTGGTTGAAGGTGCGGTTGCATTTTGCGATTCCAGGAGTAGTGCATTGTGCGGTGCCCAAGGATATGGGTACGGCTTGTTAAAGTGGTGGTACCTTGTATGGCTTGCACTCCACCACTCTTCGCTTCGACTTTTGCCCGTTTTTGATTATTAGGGGAAAGTAAGCCGGAATGGACTGTGGGTGGACTCAACGTCAAGTACTAGGGCAACGGTCATAATTGTGAGGTTGGTGATTGGATTGTGTGTGTATTTAGGATCCTTTAGGTATGGTGTGATACCCCAGGTTGGATCTCGATGCGCCCACCATCAGCCTCAGGGGACCCTAATACGCGGGGAGGGGGAGTCGCAAAATTTTTGGAAAAGTACGAACACGACTATTGGCCCTACCGGGACTGCCTTAGAGAAGGGAAGGATTGTGTGAGAAGATGTGAGCAATTTGTTTCCCCTGACGCTTCTCCCCTCTCCAGAGTTTAGTCAGTGTCAGCGGGTGTCCCCCAAGAGGCCCATTGCGCGGCGAAGTAAGTGTATAGATGCGGCAGACGAGGTCGCGCGGTGCTGTGCGAAATGAGAGGTTAGTATGGTTCCATCCATGGCGGATATTCCATCCTTTTCCAAGGGGATATAGCTGGGTCAGTTGGAGGGCGATACGTTGGACCGATGTTGACCGCTCTCCGCGCCGGCATTCACTCTCGCCACCCGCGAGCCGTCTGTGTCTCCGTGCGTACGTTCACTCTCGGCATTACTCTCGTCGTCGCGTTGGACTTTGTCCAACGGACGGTTGACCCTGGTCCATGCCTCTTGCTATATCGATAATATTGGGGTCAAAATAGGGGTGCGTCATAGGACTAGTACCCTCGTGTTTTACTTGCAGACAGTTTAGAGCAGCGGCGGACCCCTAGGCAGAAAACATGCTTCATGGGGTTCGATGATGGCACTGTAAATCGCCGCCATGATTGCGGTAGACCAATTTGCTTTTCGTGGGACAAAAACCAGCCGTTCAGAAAACAAATTTATATAGAAACGAACCTCGAGTGCGTTAACTGCGTGGCTCAGAAGAGGTTACGTTCTTAAAGACACGAAGTGGATGATGCAACTGGAGATCATTAGTTATGATCTCCATTTAAACAATGATCTATAATTATGCGCTCTATGTTTCACTTTGTTTTGGACGAGTTTTTCATTCGCTGAAGCTTGCCTAACTGCTCGTCAAAGGTTTCGTCAATACGAAGATCGTTGGATGAGTGGGTACTTTCATCGTCGTCATCATACTGAGTGGCATGCACGTGAAAATTTTCCGCTCTCTTCTTTTCTTCCTTCGAACTTAATGACACATCTTTGGCCGGTTTTGAAGAGTCGCTCTTCTTCTTTCGTTGTTGGCGCGATAGCAGTCTTTACAACCGGAGTTCGTTCAGCTGCAGGAGGTGTTTCTGCCCCCTTCTTGGCAACTCTCGTCTCTCTGTTCGGTATTCATTGAAGTACCACTGGTTTTTTACCTTCCGCTTCCGAAGGACTCTTCGCGCTTTCGTTTGCAATATGAGTTGCCTTCACAATATCTATGAATTTCGCAAAGTTGGGCGTCTCCGGTGAATGTCGACTTCTGCTCTCATCTTTGTGTACCTCAATTCTAGGGAAAATCTGCTTCATCGACGCTTTTTTCCGCTGTCTGTGTTCTGCTGTCCTTGTGTTCTCCGCTGAATCCGCAGTTCGGTCCTTGAAATAATCATTGAAGTGGTCACGTAATAACTTCGTGTTATGGGAAAAGACTTATACCGGACGGGAATCGAATACTTCCTCGTTGGATGGGCCTATCGCTATTAAGAGTTTCTACCAAACTCTTATTGTGGAAACTTTAATGGTAAAGAGCGAACAAAAAATAGCTATTCACAATCGAATAAGTTGTTTTTCACACCACTTGGATCAGGGTCAGCGGGGGTGGCCGACGGGATGTCCGCCACGCGGCGAGAAGGCAGAGACGCAGACGGGTCAGCGGACGAGTCGCAGCGCGTACTAGCGTCATGTTTAGCCAGGCAGAGAGACGTGTGAACTTCTCTTCGGTCAGAAGTATAGAACCCTAGGGGACAATCACAAATGTGGCGTTCACGTGCACGGAATTCGACCGACAAGAACGCTTTGGGCTTGCAAAGTAAGCTGCTCGAGCTGCAGCGAACGAGCTCTCTTATCAGGCCGTTGTCTGGTGCTCTCTCATCTGATGCGCTCTCTCTCGCCACATACTCTCTCTTCGCGCTTAGTCTCTCGTTCTTAGCAGGCCATGTTAGGAAGGTTGAGTGAAGCCTCAACACTGAGCGTCTTTGAGGATTCTTTCCTTTTTTTCTGTGTGCACGCGGCGAGAAGGCAGAGACGCAGACGGGTCAGCGGACGAGTCGCAGCGCGTACTAGCGTCATGTTTAATAGAATGTGCTATATTATGTCCCGCATCACACAGCATGTGCTGCGACTTGTCTGCATCTGTGCCTTATTGCCGCGCGGCGGACCTCCTGTCGGGTACACGGTCAACAGCTTGTCCGATCGACTAAAATTGAACTGTACTTTGAATTGGAGGAGGTCGCCGTTTCTGGAAGAGGGGAGTGGATCCAAATTTCGTTGAAAATTTTCACCTTCCACTGTTCCACCTTTGTGAACAAATGTTGAAACCCTTCCTCTACGCACACTTGGAATTTTGAGGCGGCATTAGAACTGCCTCAAGTTGGAGCAGATTTAAAGGCAGTAGACGCGATAGCTGCAGAGATCCGTGAGCGGTTTTCACGACATCGTTAGACGTCATTGGTGAAATGTACCCCTCATCGCGCTGAGTGGTAAAGCGAGGACTACCTCTCAAAGGCGTTCCGCCAGTGACACCAATGACTTTCAGAAAACTGCTCCACACTCCAGCCATCGTGGTACGGACAGCCTTATTACACAGGTGATTTCAGAGGAATCTACGACGAGGACATAATGTAGGGTTCGAGCCCAACGAGTTTTTTGACGGTCGTGGACCACTGAAACGCTGGCCCGGGCCAGGGATCGTTCATAGTTAGAGCTAATCTTTTTAGGAAACTGCCCGTCAGTGAATCGATTGAAGAGATCAGCTCCAGACTGGAGTAGTTGCGGTAGACCTCTTATGGTTAGACCGCCGTCACACTCGGCGACGGACAAGCGATGGAGCGACAGGAACGACGGAAGGCTTCTTATTCTGAAGATGGTTTAGGCAGCGAACAAGGGCTTGCTTCTGCTCATGGAGGGGCATATCAGGGATATATTGTCATACACAACTGCCAACGGTAGCTCGATGCGACAGGTTTGGTGCTGTGTAGCACGGACAAGAAGTTTCCCTGCCTCCTCTCTCCCCTACATACAAGCAGTTATAGCAGTTCAGTTCAGTGGAGTGGGGTACTGCTCGAAGAGAATCAGGCCAAGCAAGTTCCGGAACACGGCCAAAGCTCTTGTGCTAACAGTATCTTTAATACTAGTACAAACTTCTTGGAAAGTGCGCGTAGTGTACATGGAGGACAGCAGTGAAAGAATTCCACATGCAGGACGGCCCTTTACTCCCACTGATAGGTCGATTGGCGGCTTTTTGCAAGATTTGGGGGGGGGGTCACGTCTCCTAAGAGGTTGTCAACAGTTTCATCACTTTGTTAAGATCTCACACGTTGATTGAATTTCAACCTTCAACGAGGTTGAATTCCGATGGTGCTCGAAGCAGGAGAAATATAGAGTGTTTATATATACCAGATTAGTCCCCCGTCAACCGCCGGGACCTTCCTTTCCTGCGCAAGCTTTCTATCCTCCGCTATGGTCCCTTCCTCCTGTGACACCAACACCTCCTGGAAGTGACGCGTATGCAACACAATGGTGTTTCATACAGTAGAAGGGACACAATCATGATATGACGGTAGATTTTTCGCTTCCCTTCCTCATCCTCCCTTCCTCTCTCCACTGCCCTCCAGCTGCCACTGCAGCACCATGTGGAATGAACGGAAGTGTGCTAAGCAGGTGTTTATATAGCCCTAAGAGTGTTATCACAACTATCCTGCTACAAAACATTGATATCTCAAATCCTGTAAGCTACCCGATTTGTTAGCGGTTTGTTTATCCCATGAGCTTCCTTCTCACTCACTTCATTTTGCGGACGGACACACATACATACACACACACACACACACACACACATACAGATACACAAACCGACACACAAAGTTAGCGCTTTATAAAATAGAAGGATTGAGCATTTATCTCTGGTTTGAGAACGAGATAGCACGGGTAAGAGCTAGTAGAGTACCCAGACTTAACTGTTGTTCGTAAGAGATCCCCTCCCTGAGCCCACCCCCCCCCCCAGGAGGAGGATGCGGAAGGGTAAAAGACGTATGGCGCTCTAAAAACTTGGCAAGCGGAAATTGCTGAAACTCTGATATCAGGGCGCTGGGTAGTGCTATACAAGGGCGATCAATCTTTACGTTTCTCAGCAAAGTACTTTCACAGAAAATGAATTCTTGTAAGTTGCTACAAACGTTGAAGGTGGCTCAGAATGAATTCGGGCTTCAATCCCTATAATAAGGAATTTTGAATCTAGGTCCCAAAGCCACCTCACATATCACAAAGGATCGACTCATATGTAATAAAGCTATCATGATTGATTACGTATCATGACTCACCATGCTTTCCAGAACCAAGGTGCGCGCGAGTGCATGAACCACGTGACTACAAATGACGACGGCTCTAGTAAATTTGCATAATTGGGGATTTTACAAGTGATACCTGATGAATTGTAAATGATCAGCTTGAAAGTAAAACTGATCAATAAAGCGACCAAAGCACTTCATGCGGAAACGTTTAAGCTCAGTGGATCAGGCTGCGTACAACTTGGTTTCATAGTCGCACTCTGCGGAGCACCCTTGTTTTTGAAAAACAGCGGTACTTCCTAGCCGATTGTGTTTATCGTTATTGGACGACCCGCGTTTACTGACAACTGAATATATGGAATAATAATCGGATTGTAAAGCTGGAAATGTGTAGAGCGTCTAGGAAAACACTGGAATTCTTGAAAGAGTAGAAACTAACCTCAGCCAAAGGAAACCATTTTTGGGCAAGCGAAAGTGGAGGTGACGGCTGAGTACGGCACTCGTCCAAAGACTTTGTCTTTTTGTCTATTCGTCCTTTCTTTTTGGCCTTGAGCACCTACAAACAGAAAAGTCTTTTAAGATCCTTATGGGTTTAATTACTGAGGGGATTCACTGCTGCAGGATTAATACCAATTCCCCCTCTTCTTTATCACACTGCGACACAATCCTCGTAGAATCGACAATTCGCTACATCATTGGGTGAGGGGGGATTCTCTGAAGACTCAAGGTTTATTCAGGCCAACCCGTTGGCAGTCTTCTGGGCTGAACATGTACTACTGATCGGCCACACAACTTCCATGGATGGTATGGCAGGTTTCTGGGGCTGAGCTGAGTCCATGAGCGAGTCTGTGAACAACCCTTATTTCTTACTCTCTAAGGTCCCACTTTCGATCTGTGCCATCCATGGGGAAAAGTATGGGCAACTATAACTTGACCTGCTTTGGGCTCCTCCAGTTCTGAAGTTTTCATGAACCTGGACAAATATGGCATATGGGTAAGTGGCACCGCATGGCTCAGGGATCACGTCTTGGATCGTACACCGTCCAGGCCAGCTAACCATAAGTCTTCCGTTCCTCCCGGGTGAGGCACAGTCTTGTTTGTGAGATAGTAACACCGCACTGCGGCTTGACCCCCCATTCTATAGACCAACTCGCATTCAAGTACCTCAATGAGTGTAATGATGGGCATGGGATGCATGGCGCATACTAGAAAAGGATCTGTCTCCGTCAAACGCCTAATCCCTAGTCGTTTTACATCTCGCTCGGTTTCCTTTCTGTCGTTAATCATTGTCAGCCTGGACTACATAATGAAAGCGAATGGTTTATTTTCAGTATAATATTTTGTGCAAGTTTTGATTAATGCTCACCTCTGTCTCTTCAGTGGATCGTTTCTGAAAACAAAGAGTTTCTGTACATTCTATAGGACCTCGTTGTCTTCAAATATGTAATTTCTCAGTAGATCCCAACGTTTTGGAGTTGAGTCAGCCCAAATAAAATTTCAAAATTTGGCTTCATTCAGTAAGGACGTACCACCATGATTCTGTCGAATTCCGTGCCAATTATGGCGATTTCGTTCATAGACGGGTGGAACGTTACCGGTTCTTGCAAGCTCCTTGAGGGAGAGTTTTGTAAAGCATGCTTCTGAAATTTTGCCGTCATGTTTGGCGATTCCGTGGAAATAGTTGCTTGGCACTAAAACCTCTGAAAACCTTTCTGCAACGAATTCAGAGGTACTAATCCCTTTTGTGGACAAGCTGGCTACGTACGCAAGCGCACAGGTTGTGCCGATTTTATGCACAGAAAACATTGCAGGTGGGAGTGGGCCGCTAGGACACAAAACGACTTTTTTCACTTTTCGCTGAACAAAAGTTTTTCGCTGCGGGAACCTCTGGTCACCCCATTACCATTATTAGGGATAGACTTAAAGCAACAGTCCCAGCAGGGTGGGCGTGGTCGGAAACGGCTGCAATCCCCTCGGCCGATTCCCACTTCGGAGCTGTTCAGCCCCTAGTCAAGAACGTAAGAAGTGTGACTGAACAAAAACTCACCTTGGAAAGCCGCTAGGGAGGGAGCTGAAGTGGGCGTGGTCGGAATCGGCCGAGGGATTGCAGTCGTTTCCGACCACGCCCACCCTGCTGGGACTGTTAAGGTCTGTTAGAGAAACTTCCGGCTCTGCGGAAAGCGAAAGTCGTTTCCTGTCCCAACGTCTCACACCTGGCTGGGTTGCTGGAGGCTTGTGACTTGTATCTCTGCAGGCCACAAGCACCAATGTATGTCCACGGTCTAGAATGCGCTGTTTTCTGCGTCTCCCTATTTCTCTATGCTCTCTCGTCCCGAGTCTGTGTTTCTCCACTTACGCTCAGTCCCATCGCGGTCCATTGCTTGCTGTCGAATCGTAGACTCGTCAGCACCTTTACAATGGTGGTCCTTACTTCATGGTCCTTTCCGCCGGCTTTCTTTCCTAATTCTCTAATGGCGGTCCACATAGCGCCTCTTACGTTCATTAGTGAACACAGGAATCTTACGTAGTTGGGCGCGGAACGAAGTTTTCAGGTAAGGAAGAAACCAAGAAAATGGCCTTTGACTCACAGGCGATCTATAATTCTGATCGCGATTCTGATCCACGGATCTCTTTCACTGAGGGTCCTCTCTCACTGAAAGATCTCGAGCCGGTTGGTGGCGAGGCTACGTGGCGCGACCCCAGGTGGCGGATAGGGGGTAAATCGCGGACCAAAAGCCACCATGTACTTGCCCTGAGACGCAGGTGGATTCAGGGGATGGACTCCCTGTTTCTGTAGTGCTGTGTTGATTCATACCAGCTGTCTCCACTCAGGCGCATCCATGCATGCTTGCGTGTGTGGTGCGCTCTGTGTGTGTGCGGTTGGTATCCTGCATGTCGGCACAGCCAAAAGCTTGCATTCAAGTGACTGGGAAGTACATGGGAGGCGATTCGGGGCCGCCTCCAAAAATAAGCCCCTTGTTCCGCTCCAGGATAGCGTGGCTAACTACCTGGAGGTCTATCCTAGCCCACACGACAGAGCCTGGCAAGCTACTCGTGTGCCTTCAATATGCCGAAAACAGCAATATGGATGGGCCTCATTCCCCTGAACCTGAGGGAGCCCCCAATACGGCAGCGTTGGGTAGGACCGCTCGGGAGAGGCTGCTAGAATCTCAGGGCCCGGATAGGCTGCCTAAACGAAGAAGGACTAAGATGGCGATCTGTACTTTCAACGCACGAACGCTTGCATCCGAAGCTCACATCGAAGATCTGATGATGCAGGCCAGGAAGATCAAGTACGACGTCATCGGACTGACCGAGACGAGAAGGCACCGCCCGCTACACGCCGTTTTCGATACTGGAGAAGAACTGTTCCTTGGAACATGCGACAGCAGAGGCGTTGGCGGTGTGGGTGTCCTCGTCAACACGCACTTGGCCATAAACATCGATTCGTACGAAAGCCTTACGACCCGAATCGGACGTTTGAGATTGAGAAGATGTGGTTCAACTCCTGCTTTGACAATCTTCGTCGCCTACGCACCAACATCCAGCTACGACGAGAAGGAACACGAAGCATTCTATATGGAATTGGAGAAGTTCTACAGGGAAGATCATACCTTCTTCAAGGTCATCGTCGGCGACTTCAACGCTAAGATTGGCCCAAGAAGAACGGCTGAAGAACTTCACATCGGTACTCACGGAATGGAATGGAATGAGCAGGGTGAGAGACTGTCGGAGTTTATCATGTCGACCAACACCATCCATGGTAACTCACAGTTCCAAAAGCCCCCTCACCTTCGTTGGACTTGGGAGTCACCTGATGGACAGTTCCATAACGAGATAGACCACATCATCTTCAATCGAAGGTTTTGCCTGACCGACGTCGCTGTTGTTCCGAAGTTCTACACGGGATCGGACCATCGTCTCCTCCGCGCAAAGTTCCACTTTTCGATGCGTGTTGAGAGAGCCTCGAAGTTCAGGAAGCGAAGCCCCAGGACAGTCATCAACTGGGACCACTTCGCTTCCCTCGTCAGCTTATGGGAGGATTCCGTCATCGAAAACATCGACGAGGAGTACTATCGGCTCGTTGAACATCTTCACGATTGTGGCAAGAAGGCAGAGAGTTTGAAAGTCACCAAGGGACGTCTGTCTCCGGAAACTCTCGAACTGATACGCCAGCGTGGAGCCGCACGAGCTGCAGGCAATCACCGACTCACGTCCGAGCTTGCGAAGCTATGCAGAGAGGCGATAAAGGAAGATCTCAAGGAGCGAAGAGCAGCAGTATTAGCTGAAGCAGCAGAGGCTGGGAGGAGCATCCGCAATGCCCGCCGAAGCTTTGCCAGCTACAAGACCAAGATGACCTGCCTCCGACGTCCGGATGGAACAGTTACTGCATCCCGAAGGGCAATGGAGAAAGTCATCCACGACTTCTACTCGGATCTCTTCGATAGCCATGTCCATCTGCCCACTTATCAACTGCAACAGGATGGATACGTCGTCCCCTCAGTTCTCTCTTCCGAAGTCCGACACGCCATCAAGTCGGTGAAGAATCGTACAGCACCCGGTCTCGACAGGGTCAAACCGGAACATCTGAAGAATGCGCCGCCAGTCATCATCAAAACTCTGGCTCGACTCTTCACGCGCTACCTGTCGGAATGCAAGGTACCCACTCCGTGGAAAACCAGCAGGACCGTGTTGCTGTACAAGAAGGGAGACCTGGACGACATTGGCAACTATCGCCCAATCTGCCTGCTGTCTGTAATCTACAAGCTATTCACTCGAGTCATCCTTAACAGGATCGGCAGAATACTAGATGAAGGACAGCCATGCGAGCAAGCAGGGTTTCGAAGAGGGTTCAGCACGATCGACCATATCCACACGGTTACAAGACTCATTGAAGTTTCACGAGAGTACAAGATGCCGCTTTGTCTCACGTTCATCGACTTGAAGAAGGCCTTCGACTCTGTGGAGACAGAAGCGGTCATCGAAGCCTTGGGCAACCAGGGCGTCCCTACTCAGTACATCAAGATTCTTCGTGAGCTCTACAGCAACTTTACGACCAGAATCTCACCATTCTACAAGGAGGTCATCATCGACGTCAAGAGAGGGGTCGACAGGGCGACACCATCTCGCCCAAACTCTTCAGCGCCGCTCTCGAGAACGTCATGCGTCAACTGGAATGGGAAGACATGGGAGTGAAGGTCGACGGCCGGCAACTACACCACCTTCGTTTTGCTGACGACATCGTTCTTATAACGCCGAACATCGAGCAAGCGGAGCGAATGCTGGCTGATTTCGACTGCGCCTGTGGTAAGGTTGGTCTACAGCTGAACCTAACGAAGACGATGTTTATGAGAAACGGATTGGTTCCTGATGCCCCATTCACGCTCAACGGAACGAACATCACCGAATGCTCCAGCTACGTGTACCTAGGTCGGGAAATCAATATGATGAACGATCTAGCTCCAGAGCTGAGCAGGAGGAAACGAGCGGCTTGGGGAGCGTATAAGAACATCGAGGGAGTAGTGAAGAAGACGAAGAACATCCGGCTCCGTGCCCACCTCTTCGATTCCGCTGTCCTTCCTGCCCTAACCTACGCCTCAGAGACTTGGACTCTGCGCAGGCAGGACGAGCATGCGGTCAGCGTTATCCAACGCGCTGTCGAGAGGACGATGCTAGGAGTAACCCTATACACGCAAGTGCAGAGGGGAATCCGGAGTGCCGAACTACGCCAACGATCGAAGATCAGGGACGCTGCCGTTTTCGCCAAGGA